TGAAGCCAGCACTGCCTCACAAAAAGGCGTGCCCATTGAATCTTGCTATTCAGTTGCATTGGTTCCTTGTGGTTCGATTATGGCTGCATTTCGACCTCAGAGTACAAGACGCACAGTTTGAACCCTGGATAACCTCTGTCATACAGCAACCTCTAGGGAGTGTGCACAGGCGGTTTGGACCCAAGCTGTGTTAGCCCCACGCAGCGTCAAAGGGGTCCTGGCGCCAAACAAGAAGAGGTCGGGAGAAGCCTCAAAGTCTGCCTTGACCCCAGAGAAGGTAGAGGTCGTAGCAGGTAAGTTTCTAGACACGAGATTTCAATGTCTCGTAACATTTTGCTATTTTATATTCAGCGACAGTGTCCCACTGGGGCAAGGAAAAGGAAGTCGACATGGGAGAGGTGCTGCAGAACCTCACGTTATTCTGACAGAGAAAATACATGACTGCATCAAGACTGAAAGAAGATTTCTGCTCAACGAAACCAGCAACAAGAATGCCGAAACTCTGCCGAAGTTTTGTGTAATGAATTGTTAAAGAAATTTTCTTTTTGCAAATATTTTTAGCACTCTTAGGGTGCAGCGAATTTTCTTATCTTTTATTATTTTTATTGTGACTGCTTTAATAAAGTTTCAAATCTGCCTTTTCACGTTTCTATTGTTTGTCAATATCACTATCAGGGATTCAAGCTGCAACTGGGAGCACGCAGTTGCAACTCGAATCAACTGCAACGGGGACCTACTCCAGCTGAGACCAAATGAAACTGGTCCCAGTTGTAGCTGGGACTATACTCTGTTTCACCTTCTGATGTACCGCAGTAAAGGCTACAAGCGCGAGCTTTTTGCTCAGGGCACATCTCGGCGGCACATGCTCTCGTGCAGTAAGGGCAGCTGCCAATGCTATGAGCTCGCGCTTCTATAGCCTCCACTGCGGTACAACATAAGGTGAAACGGAGTATAACTGGAACCAACTTAATCTGGGACCAGTTCCATAAACCAGTTGCAGTTGGTCCCAGCTGGGACACCAGTCAAAGATTTTCGCACTAGGAAGAGCGGAGAGAGAAAAAATGCCATCCCCCTCTCTTACCCCTCGCGTCGTCTGCTCCGCCGAGTGGGCTGTACCTAACATCTGGCTGGCGTTCAAACTCGGTTTAAAATCGCGTCATTTTGGACATTCCAAGCGCAGATGCGCGGATTTTGATTTGAAAATTATCGTGTAATGCTATATGTTCGATAAAAATACTAACCGTGTCTAATTGCAATGTTACCTGCGTGCGAATGAAAAAAAAATAAGGAAAAACTGTGCCAGAGTGGCCGATCGCTCCAGAACAGGAGTATTGAGGTGTGCCCTATGCCAAGGGAAAGACGAGATAATATAAATCATATAAAGACGCGATAATATAAAAAGATAATAAGGTGCACAGGGCGTGTTGCCTTTCCTGAAGGGGGCGACGGATTTAGCTGGAGCGCTGGGGTTTGCAGACGACAATGGAACAATAGATGATAAGTTCATTTTAATAACAGAGAGGAGACTAATTGTAAGACTGTTGGAAATTATATAGGGAGAATTGAATGACGCACAACTAACTGCCACAACTGGGGACAGGCGGGACAGAGGAAAATTGGGACTTCCTCCCGCATGGCTCCGGCCCAAAGTCTCCACCCTGTCTCCCAGTGGGCCCAGGGCAGGGGAAACGAAGACTAGGTTTCACCAAAGGAAGATTGGCAACTCCCTCGCCGGGGGGAAAAAGCGCGGAGGGTGAAGTTCTTAGTTTCTATTTTTTTAAAGGGCAACTCCGCTTCATTTTTGATATTTAGAAAACTATGTAACCCTCTTCAGTATCATATAGGAAGACCCTATGTCAAATATCACGATCTAATTCCGTCTATATATTTAATAAACTGGCGAGCAAACTCTCAAGTCAGCCAAGTCGCCGAAATCTGCCAACTCCAGCGTGCGACGTGAGGCGCAATCGCCAGCGAAGTCAATGCGACGGAGTTGGAGCGGCCAACGTTTAGCCACTACGTCAGAGGCATGACTACGTCATTCTCACGTTTTGTTTGTTTTTACTTCTCAGAGCGAAATTGAACGATGACGTCATGAGTTTCTCCCCCCGGGTGTTGGCTGAACGGCGTTCACGTGATCACCGTAACGCGGATGCGCTAATTTGCACTGCCCTGCGTGCTTATCGGTCTGTTTCTCCGCTCCCCCTCTCCTCTTTCGTCTTCTCCCCTTCCCCCTCTCCCCCGGGCCATAACCGTCCACGGCATGCGAAGCGACCTGCCCGCGTCGCGTGTCCTGGCCCTCGCACCCCACGAACGTCACAGGACCACGTGGTTCGACGTGACGTGGCCATGACTCTGACGACACGAGACCAATGTTGCCTGACGCAACCGAAGTTTCGGTTTTGGTATCAGCTGATGTTTGAATTAAGATTACACAAATAATATTCCACATTTCGCGAATCCGAGGACGTAGAGCTGTTTAGTAGTGCTTTGTGAAATGGAATCACATGCAAGCCTAAATTTTTCGGAATTGAGGGCAGTTGCCCTTTAAAGCGCAGGTGCCTGTTTCCGGCTGGAGCGAAGACGCCGTCGCCGTCCGCGTAACCGCGCGTTGCATTATGGGACGTTTCCCATAATGACGTCACACGTGACGTCACGAGAGCAAACTTTTCCCGCTGAATTTGGCGGGAAATATTTTGCGCTAAATATAGCGAGGAAATCTTTCCGCTAAATATAGCGGGAACATTTTTCGACAAATATAGCGGGGAAATTTTACCCCCGTGACGTCACACGTGACCCTCCCCTCCGTACCTTCTCCTCCTCCTCCTCAAGAGCTGTGCTCTAACTGGGCATTACAAAAAATTTTAAAAGTCATGTTTTCTGGTTTTTTTCTGGGTGGGGGGGGGGGGGAGGGAAGGGTCCGATCTTTTGAAGTTTAATTACAAAATTGCACTTTTGATTCCTAACTTTTAGGCTAGGTGGCGCAAGCTACCGCCTAATATAAGGGGTACGGGCGTTAGCATCCGTCCACCCATTCATTTTGTTTTTGTTGTGCACGTTTCATTTTTTCTACACATTTTCGCCAGGTTCATCAACGGACGAGCGTGCGATCAACGTTACTAGATACCTTCAGTTATCAAACTCCCCCGGCGGCGGCCGTCGATGCGTGGCCCGTTTTCGTTTCCGCTAGCCAGATGGCGCGGCGGCCACCGTTAGCCCGGTGCCCTGCGCTTCGTAGCGCGACGCGCTGGCGGTTTGTGCAGCAAATGGAATTATTTACGAAAACGTTAGGGCGCAAACGAGCTGGTGAAAGTTTAACATAATTTTAGACAAACCCACCGAGACTGGGGAAAAGACGAAGGCCAAAACAACACACAGTCTCAACTCTGTGTGACACTCGGTGTGTTGTGTTGTCCTTCATCTTTTCCCCAATCTCGGGGGTTTGTCTAAAATTATGGCAATCTTTGCCTTGGAATTGTGTCATGCATTGCGCCTCCGATTTTTGCAGTCATTAGGGACCTCTTCAGACGTTGGGCAGAGGCTCTAAATGAGCGGAATGAACAGGAAAAAGGAGCAGCGGCGAAGCTGCCCGGAAAGTAACACCGCCACTGTTTGCGTACTCGTTACTGAAAACGAAAAATGAGCAAAGCAAAGAAACTTTATTCTCTCGGGGGCGCGAAAAGCACTTAGTGCGAGACACAAAGACGCACACACAATGCAATTGTTGAACACGGTTTCATGATAGACGAGCTTTTTTGCTGGCGATGGCGACTCTCGAGAATTGCAGGCGACGGTTGACATCCCTCGCGTAAAAATGCATCCGCGTGACTAAAAAAAAAAAAAAAAAAAAAAAAAAAAAATACAACACTTGGCACATGAACGTGGGCTTGTGCTGATCACAACCCAGCCGCGTTACATTGCACTTATCCAGCTTGTCCAGAACCTTCCAAAACAAGTCCCCACAGAGACCTTCCTCATCACGAGAGAGTGAAACTGCTGGGGTGCCTCAGGCTGCCTTCCTTGAAGCTCCGATATATAGTCAAGTATGCGTCAGAACCGACGACAGGAGCTGCTGAACTAATGTCATGCAGGCACAACTGGCACTCTGTGCGCTTGCTCGTTTTGTGTACAACATACCCAGATAGGTAATACGCAACACTGTCGCCTGGTGAACCTCTAGAGTAGCTGTGCTCATCACTCTTTGGTCAGGAGTAACACATGGAAATGTCATTTCCAGTAGCCTAGCCTGAATCTCATTGCTCAAGCTAGCTCTGTTTGATCGACGAGCCTCTCCAGCGGTCTTCAATGTGTCCTCCACACGAACAAGTACAACATTCGGCTCGCCTTGAACTGCTGCAATCGACCGCTCACCTTGTTTTTTTCGGCGCCTGCTTTTTGCCGGGGACAGTCTGCGAGTAGGTGCTTTGCGTTTCCGTGTCGGTTTAAAAAGATACTTAGGACGATTCGGGAACAGGCGAGGCATGGCGTCGTGCTTCAGTGCCAATTTGTCGCACGGTATAGCTACCACATCACCACAAACGTTGTGCTCGAAGACCTTCAAGATGTCATTATCGTGGAAGTGAAGGTCGCAAACGGAAGACGAGCTCGAAAGCTTTTTGCCCAGCCTTGGTACTGCGCGCTTCCAGAGTTCAAGGCGGTCAGCGTCGCTGGGTGGCCTGAAAAAATGTCTCTTCTCTCCCGCAAATCGCACAGAATCGTTCCCGCTTTTACACCGTTGCACGAGAGCGTGGCATGGTTCATGCAGTTGTAGCACGATGCACAAACGCAACACACGCGGCTACGAGCACAAACGTAACCAAACGGAAACACCGCCGCCGCACAATACCCGCAACGTGTTTCACGTGTTGCTATGCCGGGTCGGCCGTGGGGTTTGGCGCCTGCCGGGCAAACTCCGTCGCGCGCGCCCCCAAGCGGAGCGCAACAGATTGGCGTCAGGCGGAGCTCCGCAGTTTGAGAACTGAAGAGTATCTAGTAACGTTGCGTGCGATGGCATGGCTGCTTGCTCGTGGCCGTTAAATTTCAATCTCGATTTGGAACCGTGCTAATAGTACTACCATTAGCTTTTTCATGAACACGCTGGATTATGCGCCGAGTTGCATGCTAGGTTGAACAACATTTAGACGCGTTGTTCAGCTTGTGCGTCGTATCCGGCCAGTTCGAGCTTTTGTGAAAATTCGTAAGTACAAACCATGGCCTCCGCGTCAGGGGATGTGGTGCCGCGCCAGCAAAAGCGCAAACCGAAGAACAAGAACACTGCTGCCCAGCTGTCGGCAAAGCATGGTTACTCGCCCTCCAAGAAGGGCAAGACGCGCCAGGACGATGCGCCGGCGCCGATTCAAACCCGCACGGCTTTTCCTAGGAAATTGCAGTTTGCTTCGAGCAACTGGAAACTGCTACAAGAGGTGAGATGTCTGAAATTAGTCATACTGACATTAACCCTGCATTCGCAACGCGTTTCTGAGCGTTTGTCGCATCGTTTGTAAGGGCTGCCGTTCTGTTTGTCAGGGAATCTTACTTGGAGTGTTTCGTAATAAAGCTCGCAGTGTCTTATTAGGCTCACGAACCTTCTAAGTTATGGTTTGCTGAACTATCGTTCGCTAAATCGGTGACGTTGTAGCTTTACCCGAGTCGCCCGTTTCTTTTCACTCGATGAAAGAGTAAAGCGTCTCCCTTCTATAGTTGGTTTCTGCGTAGTCGTTCGAGACTCACGCCACCTCACTACCTTCACCTTATCATTTTAGACACTGAAGATTGGTGACAAGGCAGAGCATACCGTCCAGCCTCCCCATCGCCAAAGGAACGGACGTAAACCGGTGGTGCCCAGTCCACCTGAGCAGACTCGGTGAGTCAGTGGCATCTCTTAGACTGCTTGGTTCTGTCCCACAAATGGAAGAGTGTGGAACACTTTGGGGGACTCAACGGCCACCCTTTATTCCATCAGGAAGGCAGAAGTGTGGTTTGATGGCGTCGACCCGATTCTGTTGGACCCCGAAAACCAAGCTCCTCAGCCTCCCCCGGCAGCCACAACAGCTGCCAGCCATGGTTTGGTCAAGAAAGGCACCTACAACAAGTGCGTAGTAATTGTTGCTACATCACCATCGGTGGCTTCATATACAAGGGTTCACGAGCATCTTAGAATCAACCTGTATAATTGTCACTAGCAGCAACTTTCAGCTTCCCTGCAACCATAAAGTTGATTCTAGGAGTGCCACAGTTCCTCATGTTAAAGGTTAGCAAGGTTGTATGCGTTTTTAGTTTGTTTGCTGGCAGATGTGACAAATCTGGAACTTACCTGTCAACTGTCAGTACAAATCTTTGCACTTTGTCTAAAAGTTTGGTCTAAGCATCCTTTTCTTAATTCCAAATTTCTGTTAAGTATTACAGCTTTTTTTTTATTGTTGTCTGTAACGTTGCATGTACACTGTCAAATTCAACTTTTATTTCACTTTAAATAACAAATGACTGCCTCTTGTGATATAGAGTTCCATTTCCACTTCCAGAGTGCAAGATGTAGGGTTCAAACTTTGGGCGGTCCCTCTCACAACGAGCCTTCGCGGCATCGCTCATTGGCTTTGCGCTATAAAAAGCCAATATTTTCTTTTGTTTCGACGAAGTTCTTGGAATGTGTGTAAAGCATTTGGGGGGCACTCTGGAAAGTCGTTGCATTTCCAAACATTATTATGGCAGTCATTGTTATGTTTTTCACGAAATGTTGCCCATATTCAGAGTTGACTAAACGTGTACTGGTGTAAGCCTTTTGTTCACCGTTCATGCTCACTCGCAGGCCAACTCGGGTGGTGGCCATGGACTGCGAGATGGTGGGCGTGGGCCCCGAGGGCCGGGACTCTGTACTGGCCAGGGTCTCGCTGGTCAACTCCATGGGCCACTGCATCTACGACAAGTTCGTCAAGACACTCGAGGAGGTGGTGGACTACCGCACGGCTGTCAGCGGCGTCAGGCCCAGTGATCTCGAGAAGGGTGAGTTCGTCGAAGGGGTTGGGAACAGGGTGCTGAACCCAAACCGAAAATTGGATCAAAGCCGTTATCTTTGATTTAACCAAAACAAAATCAAAACCGTAATGGAACGTTTGATTTTGAACCCTAAATGGAATGAAACCATGTGGCTGTTACCGGTTCATTGGAAACAATTTGGCGTAATGAAATCTGAGCTGCGACTGTTTTTGCGGGTGGCGGCAGCTGGGGTGAAAGCAGTTGTGGTACAATGAACCGGCCTATCATTGTGCTGTTTTACTTGTCCTGTTTGCAGGCACCTATGTCTTAAAAGACACATGCAAAGGAAAAAAGTTTTTAACATTTGTTTGGAAAAGGAGGTCATAAAACGAATTTACTACGAAAAAGAAAAATTTTTAGAGCTATATTTATGGCGCGATGCGAATTTGTAGATGGCGCCCGCGGGTGCCGCGGAAAAGTGGTTTCTATTTGTCACGTGACTGGTCCCTATTTGTCACGTGGTACTTGCACTCTTTCGGAAGCTTCCTATGGCTTCTAAAAGTAGCTTATTCATCTTTGTTTGAAGTATAACAAAAAACTACGATTAACAAGTAACTTTTAGAGCCCAAAGGAAACTCCTGAAAAAGCGCAAGCAGACGTGATAGACCTGTGCGCCAGTCAAATGACGGCGGCGACGCCCCGAAGCAGACAAACTTCTGCGGCGCCAGCGGCGTGGAGAAACGCGTTGAAACTGCGTCGCACAACGCTCAGTGTGCGGTGGCAGCGACGCAGCGCGGCAGTGCATGTGACCAGCAGCGGCTCCCGCGGGCGCCAACTACCAATTCGCTTTGCACCGTAAATATAGCTCTGAATTTTTTTTTTTCTTCGTTGTAAATTTGTTTTATAATATTCTTTTTCCATCTAGCCTGTTTGAAACGAAAAAAAGCTTTTTCCTTTGCATGTGTCCTTTTTAATAAATTGGTTGGGGCGTATTTCCAGAGGTAGTTATGGAAGCATGGAAAAGTTGGACTTGCAGATGCAATTCACATAATGCCTTGTTCAGGGTGTCTAGCGACTGGGAAAACCAGGAATCGTCAGGGAAATTTTAATTACCGGGAAAAGTCAGAGATATTGTCAAAAAGCGAGCTCAGTCAGAAAAAATGAGCCGGAAACGCCATCGAGTGTCCGGAACAAAGACTTGGGGACAGAAAAATTGGCAATAAATTCTTCTTAGAGCAGAGCGCGGGCTCTGCTCACCCAATGTAGTGTGTGCTACCTGGTGCAAAGGGAACAGCCAACAAATCCAATCCAAGCCTTGGATTGGATTGAGATCACAACACTAGGCTAGATCCAGTTAGAGCTTCTAGATTTAGTAACAAATGGGAAAGCCGCAGACCCCAATCCAATCCAAGCCTTGAACAAAAGTATCCAAAAGTGTGCATCTGGCGGCCATGCTGCCATTTGGTCATTAACGTGTGTGGTTGAGCTTTGTGTTTTCATTGCGTTTCTGGAAGTGACCTCTTCACTGGCAATGTCGGCGGCAAGAAAGTGCTCGTTGAATCCAGACCTGACGAGTCCAAATATTTAGGAATTTGCAAGTTGGATTAAGCCCGTGCAAAATGATTCTCACAGTGCTCAATGCTCAATGCCTTATGTTGTAATGGTTATATATTTAGCCGCCTCTCCAGCGGTCAGGGAATTCCACCTCAAAACGTCAGGTAAAACCTGGAAAACGCGGGGAATTTCAAAATAATAATTTGCTAGACACCCTACTTGTTAAGTGTAAGCTGAAATTCCACCTGAAATTTTTTTAATAGAGGCAGTCTGCCAGAATTTGTTTAGCAATATTTCTTCAGTTGAAAAAGTTGAAAAGCTAATACTTCTCGCAAAATCTCACTTGAAAGGAGCATCAACCTGAAGTCTCTGCAAAGCGAAGGTTCTTGGAGAGGACAGTGATTACTGTTGTGCAAGATGTACTGGTATCATACCAACATCACTGCAATTTTACACCGAGATGAGAAAGACATATTTATTACCGTTATTAACAGTGGATGCAGCATCATTTCCGCGTGGCAGTGACATTGCAGCCAATTCACCTCGTCGCACTGAATTCAGGTTGGAGGTTGTTGTTTTGTAGGACAGCGGGGCGTTCTTCAAGAACCACACGAAACCGATTCTGGAATGAACTCTTGTTTTCAGGCGAAGACTTCTACAAGGTTCAGAAGGAAGTGAGCGAGATTCTAAATGGTCGCATCCTGGTTGGCCATGCCGTGCACCATGACCTCAAGGTGAGGCTGTGGGTGTGGTTAAGTAAATTAGGCTAGAATTTTTCTAATGGGACGTAAAGATAACCTCCCGCATTTACCCTAAAGCCAAGTGGCACGGGAGTTTCTCTTTCTTGTCTGCGAGAACAAACCAGGCATATCTATGCCCTTCACAAACTTCGGTCGGCATAAAGGGCACCAACTGCAGTGCACATGCTTTGTTGCACGTGCGCTGGAGGCAAAATTACGGTGTTAGCAAATGTTGCAGATATATCTGACCGAAACTATGCAGAAAGTTGCGGAGGCAGCACTATAATATGCTATGGGCACGCTGACCGAAGGCGTAGCTCTTCCCCTTGATACTCCTTCAACTTGCTCTTCTGCCAGCTTCTACGCCCGTCAAAATGTTATAACGTGTACATTTAGCCAACACGTTTCCTCGCCGACTTCGGCCTGGGCGGTGTTTCGTTGAGGAGGGCAATACGGTCCGGAGAGTGAGTGCAGCCGTCCTGTGCCCTCTTGTGCCCAGGTGCTCTTCCTGTCCCACCCCAAGCGGCGCATCCGGGACACGAGCGCATACCGGCCCTTCCGGAACATGTTTGGAGGCCGGACCCCGTCCCTCAAGGCCCTCTCGGAGAGGATCCTCGGGGTCAAGGTGCAGGAAGGAGAGCACAGCTCGGTGGGTCCCAGACTCTCTCTCCCCGACACTTGGAGGGCACCACGAGACAATGTCAGGGGAGAAACGGGCGGGGGGCGGGCACGCGCATTTCCTCTAGCAATGATTGCCGGCGGAAATATTACCGAGTGCATGTTAATCGAACGGAGAAAGTTTGGAGACACAGAGCTGGCAGCATCTTTTGAGCGTAATTATATGACAATTCTAGGGGGTCCTTAACCCTCCGAGTATAAGACGGGATATTCAGGTTTGGGAGGAGGGGGTAAAAAAAACTGCTACTGTAGTCGGACACAACGTAATACTGTGAAGGGGAAAAGGGCACGCACGAGAAAAGCCGTTGTGGAAAGGAGGTCGCTCCACTTCCAACTTTCCTAGTTTCTGCTCTTTTCCTCCCTCCCCCTGTCTGTCTTGTGTTGTATCCAACTATTGTCATTTGAGCATAGAACTGCATATTGTCCCGGGGTCGGACAAATGACTTTCGTCGCTGTTTCAGTGTTGCCAAACTAACACGTAAAATTTGGTAGTACTACAAAAAAAGTGGCAGACTTCTTGGCAGATGCAACGAGGGAAAGTGCTCAAAATTGTACTGTATAAGAGGTAACATTTTCAGAATAATATGGTAAAATGAAACATTGCGAAACAATATTTCTTCGTTTTTTTTTCCATTCACATAGTACTTATTTGTCAACTGCCTTTCGCGGTAAAAACAGGACAGGAGGCTCTTTTGGGGCAAAATGATGGGACAATGTTATATGAACCTCTAAAACAGGACATCTGGTCACCCTAACCAGTTCAGGTTTTCCTGCTAACATTTTTATGTAATTAACGGTGATTTATAGGTGAGGGAAGTTTAGGCCACATCAGTACCTATGGGAACTTTTGTTTGACAAAGTGGCCTTGACTGGGTGACTCCAATGCTTCAAAACAATAGTTAGTTCAATACGCACATGCAGTAGGCTCGCAATAATCGGGGGCGGATCCAGAGGGGGGGTACGGATGTCCTGACCCCCCTCTTGAAGTCTGCATGTGTAAAAATTTAGAGTGGAAACGGGAAGGGGGGGGGGGGGGGGGAAAGGTCTTAAACATCTGATACGCTGACCAACACCTAACCCCTCCCCCCCCCCCCTCAGAAAATACCTTCGTCTGCCCCTGGCGATAATTCAAACTCGGATATTTCATGCTTCCTGTTAATTCAAACAAATGTCAAAGTTTTGGTTGTCCCACTATGTTTTAATGCACTCAACGGGCCTCAAGCAGGGCACCATCAGCTATAAAAACGGGGACAACGTGGAAATCTCCATAGCAACTTGAGTGAACGCTGCGGCAGCGTCCGCGCAGGTTGTTATGAAAACTGCCGTGTTGAGCCCGTTTTCATTGCTTATTAGTTCAAATTAGGCAACATTTTGGCCCGATGAGGGATAAATTTTTGAGGGGTCATACATTTCCATACCTGCCAAGTCTCCTGTAATACCAGAGGGACTCCAGACTTTTTACGAATTTGTACAGTTGTACAAATGACAGTCAAATCTGGAAAATGCAAATTACCCCCCCCTCCTCCCCACACTTAAACAAGGAGTTTTTGCTGTCGTAACAAACGGCTGCAGTGAATGATAGCGAGGCCCAGCTGTATCTCGCTAGTATGGGCAGTGCAATGTAAATGTGATGAGGATGTCTTCATATAAATTTGTTGTTTATATTTCTTTTTAATGAAAAAATGCAACTCCCCCCCCCCCCCCCCCCCCTTTTAGAAATTCTCCCAGATTTGGTTTCTCCGCACTTGGCAGGTACGCAATTCACAAAACAGGAACCCCAATATCTGCTTTTTATGTGTAGCCATTCTTATGGCAAATAATAATTTTATTTTGCATCATATTTAGTTCAATTTTTGATAATTAAAACTTGGTAATTCAAACAAAATTTGTGACTTTCTGGAGTTTGAGTTAATGAGAGTCTGTACTTGTTTACGATGCCAAGTCACATTTTAGTGACATCGAGCAATATTATTCGAGCCGACGGTTGACTGCCAGAACCAATATTTATAGGTCGGTGACTGCACAACGGCCAGCGTGTTCAGGCTGCGTCTTGGCTCGTTGAGCATCTGAGTGGGAATGAAGGCTACTGTACAACCTGCTTGATGCTTCAAGGAATTGTTACGAGACTGTGGAAGATCATGCACAATACTTCAGGAGTTCAAGCTGCACCCTAATGAATGTCAAAGTTCCCGAACACTCTCCCACTTTCTCTGTGCTTGCTCGGGTAAATCGGTGAAACGAGCGGTTGAATTCGGCTGACCACGCAGAGAGAACTTTTAAAACTTGCAAATGCTGCAGACAATTTGGATTGGTCTGCATTGCGGCAGTATAACCTTTTGTGTCGGGTAATCACAGTGACAACAAAAAAACTTGCAGCAGTGTTGCCGTATCTCGCAAAGCCACAGTGCAGTTTTTGGTGAAACAAGTTACTTCAAAACGTTTGTGAAATTCTTTGGTCAGAATGATGTATCATTTTTATTATGAATGACGGTGTTTCGAGTCCGATAACTGGTTCCATATCTGCTTGGTGGTGCCAGCTAAGACCCACTGATGGAGCGTGATTTGAGCACTTTGTGCCGGTTGCACGTGGGAATTTGTGGGGGCACTTTTAGCTACCGAGGTTAGTTTCCAGACCATGGTTAGAGGTACCCGTGCTTCAAGAAAACTGGTGCTCACCCGTTTGCCATTTTATGACATTTCTCAGCATTATAGTAAAATGGTATGCGAGAAAGCTGCATGAAAACACCAGGACTATGAGCAGAAAGGAAAGAGAATTTCCCCCCCCCCCCCTCCCCCTCATGTTTGCTTAGCACTTCCAATATCAGTGCCAAAGAATGCTTTTGCACCGATATCGAAAATGCTGTTCTTTTGCATTCTTCACTTTAAAAACAATGAAATAAAAAAATAATTTTTAAATGTCTTGTTTTTTTTTGGTTGGTTTTTATACGTGCATGAGCACTGCTGTCAGCACTAAGTTAGTGCTACATTGTATGTGTGAGCAAGAAATGGAGGAGTTGAATGTATCTGAGCACAGTTACAGTGCCATAGGGCTGAGGAATAGACTACTTCCACAAATTCGTCACCACGCGCGTTGCATTCTGGAAACTTCCCACGATGCAATACGTTGCGATGAGGTGCTTCAAGTTTTGACATAAGTCTGTTGGCACCGTGGTGTACGTGTGAATAGGCCTCAAATGCGCCAAAGACTCGCACAGCAAGGCCTGCCTTCCAACGCAGGTCCAAGATGCCCAGGCGACCATGCGTTGCTACACCATGTACAGGAAGCGGTGGGAGGAGGACATCAGGACGGGCCGGCAAAGGGCAGCACTGCTGGCTCAGCAGGCGGCACAGCAGCAGGAGAGCACCGCCTAGGCGACGTAGCGCCATCTATCCTGCCACCGGTGCTCTCGCAAACGTTTCTGCCGTGGTGGAAGCTTTTCCTATGCCTATGAAGCCCCTCTTTTTGTACAGCCCCCTCCCCAATTTCTTCCCTGGGCCACATCTATGCTTAGGAATGTCTGGGTCAGATTTTCTTTGTTCGTTTGTTGGTCTACCAGGTGGGTCGGTTCTTTGCCATTTGTTGGGGAACAAGAATGAGACTGGCTGCTGTGTGAACAATGGCAATCTCTCAAACCAAACTGTGTGCAAAAACATGATGATTAAATGAACTCTTAACAATCGGCACTGAAGTGTGTTAATTTTTGGAATTTGGGAGACATTTTTGGGAGGGCGATCTCATACCCCAACCGCTTTTTGTAGGTGTTTGCTTTTTCCTATATCATTTGTTTTCAAACAGACAAGCAGCAACCATTTTATGCAGGTTTAAATGACTGAAGTGTACTCCGATTTCATGGCTGACCAAATATTCCTTCAGGTGGACTAATAAGTGCATTTGCAAGACAGAAAAAACTTTCAGCCTTTCCACTCTGGTAAAGAAGGAAGACCAGTGAAGCTGTACTACAGTGCAATCCACTTATGATACCACATATAACGATGTACCACTTATAACGATCAGTTTCTAGACTGGAAATAATCAGTTTCTAGTCCAGAAACAACGATAATCAGTTATAACGATTGAAATTTGGGGTTTTCTCATTATCATTATAAGTGGGTTGCACTGTATAATGGAAATGAAGTAATGGCCGGCTGCAAGTCGGCAATCCAGAGTGGAAAGGCTCGAAAGGTTGCCGCCATCTATGAGCGACGGTGGCAACCAGACAACGGGCAAGCTGGTTGTCTGGTCTCTATGGGGGCCAGATAGCTCACCCAGGGTGAGCTATCTGGCCCTCATACTGAAATGAGTTTGAGACCACTGCTTTAGGATGGATGGATGGATGGATGGTAATGCGTATACCCTTTGTAACGGGTGGCAGCTTGCACCATCTAACCTAACATTTCGTCATCCCTTTTTCTTCTTTTTTTAATATGTATAAATTTTGTTATAACAGAACCCCCCCCCCCCCCCTTTTTTAAAGTGATCCCATTGCTTTTTATTTGTATATTTTTTTTACCCTTCCCTAGATTTTGTCTACCAATCTCCTTTTAGTTACCACAATTCTTTCCCTATCCCTTGTCCATCCACGTCTGTAAATCCCCAGAGCCCCCTCCAAATCCGTAGTCATCCCCCCCAAGAGGGTGGGACGAAGCCCCGTGCACCTTAAAATTATGTGTTCTAAAGTTTCCCTCTCGTGGTTGCATATTTTGCATAGCGTGTCAATTTCTTGGAATTTAGTTCTATACGTTTTTGTTCTTAGCACCCCCGTTCTTGCTTCAAACAGTAATGAGCTCCCCAATCAATTATCATACAACTGTTCCTTTCTTGTTTTTGTGCCCTGTATATTGTTAAAGCTGAATTCCCCTGCACTCTCTCTTTCCGCAATTTCCTCCCTGTTTCCTTTACTCCCCTTTCTACTGATATGCTCTGATCGGCTCCATCTCGTTGAATGTATTTAAATCTCAGCTTGCGGGTTCGGTTTGTCCACTTAGTGTTTAGACTTTTCATATATCGATACTCGTACACCCCCCCCCACCCCCCCCCACCCCCCCCCACCCCCCCCCCACCCTCCGTTTTCGTTGCCCGTGTATCCTCAATTTTAACTAGTCTTTGTTCAAATTTTACTTTACTGATCACTTCTCTACTCTCAAAAAATGCCCAACCCATATCCTCCTGTACTCCCTCATTTGGTGTATTCCCATGTGCCCTCAATGCCAACCTAACTACACTCCTTTGCTGTATCTTTCAACCTGCCTGGATTTCTGACCTCGTACACAATATTGCATTCCCAAATGACAGTCCTGGCACCACGACTCCCTTCCATACACCCCTAACGACTTCAATTCAAGGATTTTAAGGAGCTGTACGAACCCTGACTAAGGCAAACAAAAATATCCAAAAGGATGAGAGAAAACTGTTGTGTTTCACAAATTATTGAATTTTCGAATAGTAGTTTTGAGTAATGCTCTATTCAGTATTCGCTTCGAGATGAACTCTGATATTCGGATTTTTCTAAATGTCAACTGCGGTGCGTTTGCCCAGTTGAGTGCGCTTTTCACCGAACACCGGTGCACCGAGGAGAAGGAACGTCCGCCGAGATTGTTTTCGTTGGTGTTGCTTCTCTGGTGCTTGGTAAGTGCGCGTTCAACGATGCTAACCTGCTGCGATCAACACTTGAACAGTATAAATATTGCTGTGGCCATTATGCAAGAGTACAGTCACCAACCAGTTTTTCGGACGCCGATAATTCGGAATTGTCCGGTATTTCGGACCTAAAAGAGGAACCGTGGCCTGCGCGATAGATATTGCGGATATTCACGACCAATGTTTTGAACAGCATGAAGTTAGATTTTCTTAATAAAATCGTCGTGAGCGATCGGCAGGAAGAACCGCCGAGAAGCCGCCACTTGAGATTCTATGTTGGCTGCACATGGATTGGCTTGGTTTGGCAGCATTACTTGAGTACTGCTAGGTGACCCTATGCTAGGGCTTTTTTTTTTTTTTTCTCTAGCTATGCGTCATTATCATCATCATTATTACTGAGACGATGAGTCCTCAGCGAATCCTTATGCTGCAATTAGGCTCGATAAAATTTTTTTAATGAGAACGCTCTTGATCTCCCGCTGCTTCCACGTTGCGGAAGGCTTCCGACAATGTGATTTCAGCTCAGTCCGTGATTTCAGAGATGATGTTTCTGTTGACTGAACGAATCTGTTCAGATCCTCGACGGCTGTTTCCTGAAGAACAAAACTTTAATCAGGCTGGGATGTCTCTGGAGATTTTTAGGCAAGTTGCTTGAAACGGCTGAAGCAGTTACGACACAAAAGGTTGGCACCTCGTATGGAGTGAGCTGCTCCTGGCATATGCTTCTTTAACTAAGTGATGTCCAAATCCTTCACACTGCAAAAGTTCCTTTGATATTAAATTTTTTTTCTTGTGCCTGTCGAGATGGCCCGCACAGAACACCCACTTTAAGCTGCATGATTTAGCCATCAAAACGCAAGGAGTGCTAGGCGTATACTATAATCGCAGACGATACTCCAGATGCATCCGCAGGATGGTCTACGAGAAAGGCAAGTGAAAGTGAATGTTACCTCTGGGGTTTCTTATCGCTTTCAAGCGACCGGTACGCTTTTCCTTAGTGTTTGTGTTCTCTTTGCGTTTTATGGTCTACCGTGGCAGCTGCTCAAATGCTGTAAGGAGGCACGCCGGTTCCGCCGCGCCATATTGTGTTACCGCCGGCTATTGAAAACAGGCCCAGTGAAGTATGCGGCATGAGTGCCTCTCAATTGTTAGAACCGGGTGCATTTTCTGCAACTCTTATACAAAAATGCACTAAGAATTATCGCTTTGAAACCACCGTCTGCTTCTGTGCCGTCAATTTGTTTCTGACCACCCTCGAGCATTTTCACTTTGTAAAAATAATTAATTCATCTATGGGTCATTACGCCCCATTCACGGTGCCACAGCAGCCTTGATATGGCCATATTTCTAGCTTTATAACTTCAAAGACAAAAGTAATGCAACATATTTTTGCAGATTCTGTAGGTACCTGTTAATGGCCTTAAGTGGGAGTTAAAAAAGAAAAACAAAGACGGCCTTTTTTTTTTTAATTGATTGATTTCCAACCTTGTTAAAGCTTAAAATGGTCCCTTATAAGCTTTAATCAAAATTTGTTGGGATACCCACGACAATGCACCATTATGAATAAGTTACAGGACAACATGCTGGCAAAGTTTGAAAGTTCTGGTATTTATGGATGAAAAAAAAAAAAAAAAGATAAAATTAAGTATTTTTTTGCTATGTGCAGTGTTTGCTGTTTTCATCTGGAAATTAACAATGTTGATCCTTAATGATAAACATTTGGAGTTGATTCTCCGCATACGTAGTTTGTCAAGTAAGTATTTATAGACCCATAGCAGCATCACTTTTCTGGGGAGAGGTGCCCAAAATGCCAATCCGCGCAGTTTACAGAAAGCGCTTTGCACCAAGAGTGTGCCTTTATTTTATTTTTTTCTACAAAGACAAAACATTTTTTTCGCTAAACAGAATTTGGTTTTGTTCTGAGGGGTATCGAGTTAAATATATTATTTTCGTAAAAATTAAAATTGGTTCTGGACATGGTCGGCCAAACTTATGTGAAAACAGCCTACAGATTTGCAGGTTGCGCAGGTAGTCTTAAACAGAGTATGTCGAGCATTTCTGTCTTGCTTCTCAGTGAATGAGCTTCCAAGCATTCTTTTCCCACCACCAAACATATTGTTATCACTTGGGAACGTGGTTTACTGCTCATTTGTACATTTCTGTTGTCATATTTCGGTGCTGCCATGAGGTGCTCTTGGTTCAAGAAACACAGGACAAAATTCACTACCTTTGCAATTTTCTTCTTTTTTTTACACTAAGTTTGGGGGGATTGGTACAGCCATGTTTGTCGGTGTGCCGAGCCACTTTTTAGGCAAATTAGCAACCATAAAAAAATCTTTAGAGTGCCTTTTAACCTTTTGGTGGTTCTCTTCCTTGTGAGTGGCAAAAAGGGACACCTGTATCTCGAATTGCACCATGGCTCAAACCACCACGTCTTGGCTTCTTCGTGCGCATAAAGGCAGGTGTGCGCACGCTACTTGCCGCTAAAGTAACTAAGCCAGCACGGCATTAGCACTACTGTCAGCACTAACTTAACGCCAAGTTGGTGTTGTATTGTGTGTGCGAACAGGAATAGGCGGAATTGCATGCAGTAGCAAGCACACCGATACAGTTGTGCGCTGTATGTATGAACAGGCCTTAACACTGCCATGCACGCAAAATAACAATCGTTGACACTACGAGGTGGAAACAAGCAAAAAAAAACGCTACAGCCTAGCACGCCGTGATTTGCAATAGGTTATGGTACCTGTAATGGGTGCTCCATCCTGGTGAGAAGAGAAAAAAGTCTCAAGTTTACAACATCACGGTCACACGAGAGGCTCGAAAGGCTTTTCAATATATCGTTCACTGGGGATCGAACAAATGTTCCTACAGGTGTCTTCTGGAAATATCCAGAAGTAAGCTCGGAGCAAGGCCACAACTAAGCTTTCAATTTTGATGAAGCGAGCTTGCGCCTCGCACATTCGACGGAACAAACAAATAATTTTTTGACTGCACGCAGACTAGAACAGTTTGCCAAACGAGTATGGTAGTACCATTGCAAAGCTTCCAATTTTATTGGCACGAAGGAATTGAGCAAGCACTGAAATGGGAAGGACGCAATCCATGGCTCGCACGGACGCAGCTTCAACAGCCATTGTGATGGCCTCGCGACTAGCAAGGCCATCACAATGACCACCTATTGCAGCTTACTATTTAAAACACAGGATTTCTTTCTCTCGGCAAGAAGAAATGGAAATGTCCGTCGGCACGGTGCGACGACGTCACGTGCAAGCCACGTATTCGTGTGGACCTTGGAGATGCATTGCTTAACTTCTTGCTTGGCACCTTCCTGAAAAGGGCATGGAATGAGACTCTTACCTGCATCAAGGTATACTCCGTCTCACTGTAACTTGGGAAAGGGTACGGCCCCAGTGATCCAATCGGCACGTTGAAGGGGAGATGTTAAACTATCGCACTACTAGTAAATGAGAAGTTGGAGGCCCAGAAAAAAAAAAAAACTGAGCTCCGTAGAGCCAGGGTTTCCGCCGACGAGAGCGCCCGGTCCTCCTTCGGGGCCGGCTTATGTAGCCTCGAACATATGGACGCGCCCGGGGAGGCCAGTAGCTGTTGCACCCACTATCATTCTGAAGGGTGCGCCGGCGGCGCATTCACCCTACTTGGGCGAGGGGGAGCTGTCCCCTTCAGGGAATTCAGCCTCGGTTCCTTCTATCCAGGAGGCTGCAGCAAATGGTAACGATGACTCCCACGGCCTGGTTGAAGCTAGGCCTAGATAGGGATATAGGGAACCCCATGGTTCCGACAACCATCAGTAAGGGCTGTTGCGTGCTTCGCCTCTGTCGAGGGGGAAACGGCATTTGCTCTTCGTCAAGTTACGGTCAATAAAACAAAGGACCAGCGAACGAGACACCTCGTTTTCTGTAGGTTTATTCTCACATCCCAGTTTGTACACCTCCGTTATGTGGATAACATTCGATTAAATACAGGAGCTCTCTTCTTGAAAACGGCCGAGGGGAGAAACTGTCCCCCGTGAATGAAACAACAAGCGGAAAATGTCTCCCCTCCCACCCCAAAACTCTGAGAATTGTGGACTCTTTTCAAACTAAGGTGTTGGTGTGAGATACTTTTTTTTGGTTTTGTCTGTTTCCACAATGGACATGCAAGTGCTTTGTAGAGAAGACTAGTGTTGGTTCAGCTCACTTGGTCTCGCGCAAGACCGAAATGCCTCGTCGTCGTCGCTACTTCTGGGGATGGATTCGAAACAACCTTCCACTTAACGAACCAGCTGTAAATATCTGGCAAGCTTTTTGCCCTCTCTTCCAACAAGTATATACATGTAACATATATTTATTTTATATATATATATATATATACCTCCAACTACACATTGTGAACATTGCAGCATGAAAATACAACGTAGGCAGGGGCAACATCCGACATTCTCGTGTTCAAATGGCGCGACTGCCTCCAGTTTTAACGATGGGCTCTGGGAGACTGCACGGGGTGCTCCTGGGATTTTCCTTATAAAGACGAAAAACAGGATAGACCACTCCCTTCCTTCACTCTGTTCATACTTTGCAACCTCAGCCGAGACAATTTGGAGCCCCTTCCTCTTTACAGACATGCTTGGCGAGCACAGGGGAAGCCCGCCATCATCGGCCTAAAAGAATGCTTCTGCAGGTCCGATAACTGAGTGAGCTCAAAGGAACCATGAAACAATTTTTGTCACTTTCACTGAACATTAATTTCTAGAGTGAATTCCCAATAGACCGATCTCACCAAGTGCGTGACGCCGCCATAACTTTAGTTGAAAGGAGGCAGGCGGGAGTTATCAAGACACCTCGTGCCGTGTCATGCTCTGAACCGGTAGTGCTTCAGGGAGGTTGTCCCACGTGTAAAAAGACAAAAGTTCCCTCGATGCATAGCAGGAGCAACGCGGCGTAACAAAACTGGCTGGTGATATCAGTCTATTTTCGCAGCAGTTGTACTATATATGTTTAGTCGGTTCTTCTTTACATTTATACAGGCCGTTACAGAAAATATAGCAGTTAATCACTTCAACTCGCCAGCAGAGCATGGGGTCGGGTATTCTGGCACCGGTTTCCGTTACGGATGTTTGCGTGTCTGGGGTGACGGTACTTGGAGCAAACGCTGCACCTCAGACCCCGTTACAGTTTGGTGACCTTGTTACAGTTCAGGGTACTTGTCTCCGGGTAAGGCCCGGCAATGAAGCGGTGCTCACATCAAGTCTGTTAGCCACGTTTGGCTGTAATGTTTCGGCTCCACAATTGAACACACAAACTTCGGTGACGTTGATCAATGTCCCCGCATGGCACTAGATGTGTTGCAATGAAGTTAGCCAGCCTTCATAGGAAACAAAAATACTCCACTCCAACTTTTTTTTTTTTAAGTCTCATACCAGAAATTAGGCTCTATGTTCATTACCCTTTTGTCAAAATTAAAAAAAGAAAACTGAGACAGGAACTTGTACAAAAAGGAGCAAGCACACAGATCTCCCTTGTTAGCCTTACGTGCTGGCTTCACGCTACGAGAGAATTGTAAAACTCGAGCCCAAGATAAAGTTTCGTGGTCCCTTTGAGATGCCCAGTCATAAGCACGCGCCAAATCTGCCCCATTTCTTGCCCACTGGGCACGACGACGCGAGAGTAAAAGTAATTAATTCTGTCGCCACCTGTCTGCCATTTTCAAAGGACCTCTCGCGGAGTCTCCCGAGAACACCAAACAACTGGAGAGATGTTTGTACAAGCACAGTGAGAAAAAAAAAAAGAAGAAAACCCCGTTTCTGTTTTGTACACTAATCCTGAGCATCCCTCGCAAAAGAAGGGGTTTTGCGTCATCCACATCGTTCCCCAAAGAACCGCACCCCGGATCTCGGCCCCACAAATCGGGATCACACGCGGCGGCAACAACACGCTTCCTGCCCAACTCGTCTGCTTTCTTTATTAGGAGAAAATAAATATGGTTTCTTCGTGCCGAACGTCGGCGCAACGTTTCGTAAAGTTTCCTCGCCACGACGGGACGACCAGCCGTGCACCCGTCCGAGGAGTTGCATACCGCTCCGCAACGATGGGTACGACAGCCACTTTCTTGAGACTCATTCCGAAGAGCTCTCAGCTGACAAGCCTGTGCTCAACGACGTCTTGCAAACTTCAAAAGATCTCTTACCTCTCCCTAGAGGAACCCATGTGACCCTTGGCAAATGCTGCGGGTCGTAGGCTGCCCTCACGGGTCTCCCCCCTCACGGTAACAATGGCGACTAGCGGAAGCTGTTCCTCGCAAACACGGGGCACAATCTCGTTTTGCTCGCATGTCTCTAATCCGCCCGGACTTTGATCAAGATGCCTGGTTCCAGCATGCCCGCATTCGGGCGGGGAAGGGCCGACGGGCTCGGGGGCAAGAAGAGGCGGGGTAACGAGCGAGCTGGGCGGAAACGGTTCCCGCCCACAGTGGCACCAAAACAATGAACAGGTGCCGACCTCCACCTCCTCCACGTCCCTTCAACCCTAAACCACACCCCAATGTGCCTCTCGAGAAAAAAAGCAGCTTCTCCCGCCGCTGCCGCCGACAGCAAACTACTCCCCCGGCAACTCCCTCTAATGCCACCAAGCGGAAACACGCACAACACTGCAAGCGGCGCACTTTTCCTCCGGACACTACGACTGATCCCTCCCTTTAATCCCAACATGTGCGTGAGAAGAAAAAAAAGGTAATCATGTGCGCATGAAAGAAATGAAAGAGACTGCTCGCGAAGCATCGCCGCAAAGCAGACTTTGCGAAAGAGAGAGAGAACTCGTCCCTCCCAGAGACAAGACGCGCGGTGCAGAGGGAGTCTTCCTTCCAAAGCGGGAGGCCAAGGGGGCTCCGTGGGGGCAGAGAGATACGAGGGGAGAGAAACACTACCGTGGCGTCCCCCTCCTTTTTTCTTTTTTTTTTCTTGGCCTAGGTGGATGGCTGGGGTGGCTTGTGGAGCCCCCCTACAGGTGGTAGTGCTGGTCTGTCTCGTGCCGTCCGTTCTCAGGCTTTCATCTCGCACTCCCGCGCCAGGTGGCCCACCTCGCCGCAGTGGTAGCAACGGTTGTTGGTGCGTGTCGACCGGCAGTTGCGAGCTATGTGGCCACGCTCGTTGCAGCTGAAAGAAAGCGCACGGGACCGCTCAGTCTTGGGTCCTCCGAAACTTGCTCGACCTCACTCCAGAACCAAGGTTTTGCACCTTGATATTAAAAAAAAGTAGCAATGTCCTGCGTCGCCCCATCTGTGTCGTCACACGATATCGCCCGCGGGAGTGATTCGGATCTACTAGAGTAAGAATTGGAACACAGTCAATCAGATATCCTTTCATATACTTCTATGCAGGAAGACTATGCCAATGGGCAAACAACTTGGGTGCTACAGGTGATAGTGGTTCAAGTTCAGAAGCTGACCTTGTTAAAAAAGTCCACCATTCGCTTTGTTCAAAATGGTCAAGAGTACTATTTCTGTTTAACTTCGCAGGAACGGATATCAAAAATATTATATTGGGCCAGAAAAAGCAAAGTAGAACAAGTATAATTTGCACCTCTGGAGATAAAAAAAGGAGAAACGATATGGGTCAGCTTGTATTATTACTGTATTTGGCACCTCGATTGTAAGTTTACGTGGAAGAATAAAGTATCTACAATGGCGCACAGCACGAGTTCAGCTCAACCCTGAAGCTGGGGTTGGGTAGTGTAACGCGCATTTTTTGCGGCAAAGGATAAAAACCTAATTCTGGTTTCGGAATCCTCGGGCCAAGCTCACATTTTGTAAGATGTTGCGGACAAAATATGAACCCGCTAACCATAGACTCTAAAGAAAAACTAATCTAACGGGCAGCAGGCAGGAAAATGAGGGCGATTTGCTCAAGGGAAAATGCAAACATGGCCGTCCTTCTCCCTTCACCTCACTTTCATAATGGCAAACAAAATGTGGACTGTGTGTCCCCTTTTTGGAGACACAAGGGGATGTGCATCCCCAAATGGGTACACACAGTCACCTTTATGCTAGTAAAACAGTAAAGGTTACAAGTGTAATCTAGCCTGTGCTCCTTGCTTTGAGAGGTGCTTTTTTAGCACAAGGGCTCGTTCTGCAAAAGCATCCTAGCAGGGCTTAAACTTACAGGTCATGCGCTCGTGGCCTTTAATCGATAAAGAGTTTTAGATTAATGCACCCAAGCACTTTTTCGCGTCCAAGGAAACAGCACTGTCACCATTGCTGATGTGCAGAGCCCAAATCACATTTTGGGTGCACACACCATTTATCACAAATAGCGTAGGTACCCAAAGTGAACGACAGCTTGTTGCTTTAAACCCCTTGCTCCGGGGGAGAAGGAACAGGCACCGTACGGCCCAAAAAACATGCTTTTCATGTAAGGCTTGGCAAAATGTTTGGCGCTGGAGAATATCCGCGATCTGTTTTAATTCCCTACTTTGGACTCTTCTTGTTCCCGTCCCGCCCATTAACCCCTTAAGTACCACTTTTTCTTAAAAAAAGCAACCTAAAAATGCTATATAGTTTTATTAGCATTTATTATTATTATTATTTTTATTTATTATTGTATAACAGATAAAATTTTAAAAGTTTATTACGCAAAAATCAGCGGCGGCGGAAAAAAAAGGCACCAACTAAAAGGAGTGCTGCCATCTATATGATCAGCGCCGCAAACTACTCGAACGAATCTAGCTCGTCCGTGGTATTGAGGGCTACCGGAAAAACCATTGGACTAGCTGAGCTTGTTCGTCCATGGCATTTTTAACCAGCTCAGCTCGTCCAAGGCACTTTAAGGGTTAAAAGTCACGCGGCGAAAGAGCCCAAGTATGCACTAGATCTCCATAGGGACAAAAGGTCACTATAGACCATGTCACTCAGCGTTCCATGCAAGCGCAACACCGCCATAACTTCAGTTCACAGGAGGTAGGTAGTGCATGAGACAGCTTGTACCGGCTCGTGCTCTGCTCGCACGAATTCGCAGCAAGGTTGTCGTGCTCGCAGAGACTAAAGATCCCTCGATGCATTGTGGCAGCAGCCGCATAATGAAACTGGCTGGTAAGAGTCCACGTAACCAAGCATGATAATAAAATGAGAGCCATGACCAGGCACATTTCTACAAAGCAGTTTTTCACTTCTTAACACATGCACCCAGAAAAAAATTACGCTCGGTCGCCTTCAGTATTACGCTCCAAAAGGCCACTAAAACCAACCAAACGATGCAGCAGAGCTCAAAGCAGATTCAGAGACGTGGAATATATTACAATATATGCTAAGCCCTACTGGTTTGTCATGGTTGCCAGATGAAAACAAAAACTCTTCCAAAAACGGGTTCGTTTTTGGAAGAGTGCGCGTGCAGCGAGGTGCAGGCAAGCGGAAACTTATCGAAACAACTCAAATGGCACAGCTCGATTGCCCTTGTGCACGTGAGACACACTTAAAGGCTGACGTACAAACTGTTTTCTGCAGGGAAGGTAATCCTGTTAGCGCTCCCCTCTCCTAAGCTGCGACGGGAGCCAAGTTAGAGCAATGTAAAAAGTGGAGAAGACATAGGGAAAAAGGAGCAAGGCAAAAGTGGAAAGCGCGAAGTGTATACGTCGGCCTTTAACAACTTGACGAGATTCGACACCGGCGTTTAAGTGCAGTCGATTGCGAGGGGGTAAACTGTCGTTGAGCCATTGACAGTCGAGAGCGCCCGCGTGACAGGTGTGAGTGTGTCAACCGAGCCAATCCAAACGCAGGGCCTCACCGATAACAGACGTCGGCGACAGTATCGTTGCCGCCGGCCTCAGGGCAGTCTCGGCTGATGTGTCCCAGATGGCCGCAGTTGTAGCACTTGCGGTCATCCCTCTCGCTGCTGGGGCAGTCTCGCGAGATGTGCCCCAGCTTGCCGCACAGGTAGCACTGGAGAGACAGGGCACCACCACTCTTGGGGGAGGAGGGAAGCCCAGCTTTTAGAAACAAACACGGGACAAGAAACAAGCAGAACGCAACAAAATAGAAACACCTCGCACCACCAGGGGGCGCCCGAGGCAATGGGAATGAGTTCAACGAGGAAACGGTGTAGTCCAGAAGCTGCCCAGTCATACGGTCGGGGACGGGTCGAAAACCCGACGGAGGCTTCGCCTCCGGCACAACCTTCCCGCCTTTTGATGGTACTTCGTTGCACGCGCAACCAAAGCGCGGTGGAAAACAACGAGCGCGTGCTGGAAGGGGAGCTTCTAATGGGTTCTTGACCTGTCGCCCACTTTAGAATGCCTCAATGTCCTTTCGTTTAGGGTGACGCCGTTCTTTGCAGCACCATACCCGATGCCAACAGCACATGCTCGTGGGGAAAATCCGATGAGGGTGCCAGTAACAAATGCCGCCATAGCACAGTCGATGCCGAAAACTTGTGCTAACAGACGTGCTTTCACACACTCTCGAAAAAAAAAAAAAAAAGAGTCTTGAGCAAATTGATTAGATGTCATCACCCTAAGCAAAGGCACACATAAAGGCACCCTACCCTATCCCGGGTGCCTTTGTGTGCGCTTTGCTAAGGGCGCCGACGTCGAGCCATTTTTGTTGCAACACCTTTGGTTCTTCTTTTTGCTCGGGAGCACTTGGAAGTGTCTCCTGGCATCCTAAACAGAGGAACATTGAGGCACCCTACCCTATTTTTGTTAATTTAAATGAGAGGTGATCGTTATAACAAAAACTGTTTCAGCAAACAGTATTTTAGAGTCCAATAAACTTTACTTTGATGAACTGAGGGAGGAGCTAAGTTAAGAAAAAATGGCAATAGACCTTTTTTTTTTTTTAGTTTTGTTTTAATTAACCCTAGCTCTTACTTCAGATAGTGCAAGCCTCAAGGTGCATATTATCATGAGCAAAGCGAGTAACCTCTCCGTTTGCAGATGCCAGTGGCATTAGTAAGTTACCATTCAGTAATGTTCAAGGTTGAAAGTCGTCGGTCACTTTAGTAGAAATTAAGGTAGACAACTGGGAATATATTAATGAATATATAGTGCAGGTAGATGGATTCTTACATTTCGAATTTAGAGTCACGAAGCTTTTAAAACGTTTCCCCAATTTTGTCTCCCATCGCTTCTCAAAATGACAAATCAAATGTACTCGTAAGACTATCACTAGTGCATCGCACTAGTGTTAGACACTAATCTGAGGTAGAGAAAAACCCCAATGTGGAGCAAATTTATGAAAAGGATAAATTACTATCTCACATTAGTAAATTTTGGTCAAACTGTGGTAGACAAAACTAACTTTCTGAACTTGACTGGACTCCCAAGCCCCAAATGGTCATGGTATATGAGGGCCCCCTGAGAATGCTGGAACCAGAACAGAGGGCAAATTAAATTTACCGTTGAATTCATTCCCATTTCAATAAGCACAACCAAGTAAAAAAGTATAATTTACACAACAGAACTAAACAAAGTAAAAAAAAAAGTAGTGTACATAAGCATGGCTAGAGAACAAAATTGGTTAAGAAACAATAATAATGCACACGGAGAAAATGTTTTCATGCAACTAATAATTACAGGCACATAAGCAGAGTTTGCAAAAATATGAAATATATGGCCTGCCTTGTTCGCATCTTTCCTATACACCAGGGGTGGCCAGGCTGAACCGGCCTAAGAGCCGCAAACAAAACCACGGAACTTCAGGGAGCCGCGGATGGGGGAGGGCCAACTGTTTAGAGCAGGGGTTCTCAAAACTTTTTGGTCTGACGGAACCCCAGGAAGCCTCAAAGACTGCCGCGGAACCCTCCCCCCCTCCATATTTGCCGACCGAGAAGCAACAGATGCACAATTGTAGGCAATTTTGCTTGTGTTGCTTCCCATATATCCCCACCATATCAATCGCAATGTCAGTACAAATTCATATGTAAGCGCTTTGCATGGTCCTGCCGTGCAGCCTGCGGCGTAGGGGGGGGGGTGAGGGGAGGGGGTTGCAATTTGGGTGTTCACGGAACCCATGAGACCAGCTCGTGGAACCCCTGTGTTCCCCAGAACCCAGTTTGAGAACCCCTGGGCTAGAGCAATGAACGAAACTCAAACTACTTTCAATCTATCCCAGTCAAAAACAGTCCAACTGTACGTAAGGAAGCAGTACCACAAGACCGCCTAACCGCAACCTGTTTCGATTTAAAACGCATTCCATTTCTCTTTCTTGGAGAAGTGCTCGTGTGACCGGGAGGGAGGCGGGGCAGGAGGGAGGGAGGGAGGGGGGAGGGAGAAGGAAGGGAGCGATCCGCGAGCCGCACTTTAACACGCGAAGAGCCGCTGTGGCTCGTGAGCCGCAGCTTGGCCACCCCTGCTGTACACGTTAGCTCCAAAAACTGAAGGTTATTGCAGGAAAGTTAAAAAACAAGTTATAACAGACCTGTATAGGTCACTCTAAAGCAAACAGAATGTGGGGACCACTGGTTGAACATTCAAACATGGTACCCAAACGACAAAAGCACAGTAGCACTCCACATTGGAAGATGGCAGATAAGAAAGTCAGACCAAGCTATTTCTTAGAGCTTATCAACGGTTACACATGTTCTTACTTAATATAGAATAACTAATAATGCTCCCATAATACTGTCAAGATCTTATTTCAAGGCCCATTGAACAAGTTCAAAAGAGCATCAGAAAAATCTGTTATGAGACTAGACTACCGTAAAATCCCGAGAGATGCCCCACCCCCGAAAGATAGCCCAACCTTATTTTTGGCTTGGTTTGCTATATTTTTTTTAAACACCGAAAGATAGCCCATTCTTACTAATCGTAGTACAGGGATCAGTGATGGCCTCGGCGTAAATGCGGCTGTTAGCTATGGTAGGATATACGCGAACATTGCTGACTGGGAAGTACAGATATCTTTGCTTCGTTGCCGGAAGGGACACAACCTTAAAATATCAATTTTTAAAACTTTTCTTGATTGTACATTGAAAGTTAGCCCACCCCATATTTTCACCCGATTTGCTCTTCATGTTAGGTGGGCTATCTCTCGGAATTTTACAGTACTATTATTTTTGTGGCCTTCTTTGTCGAATATTTGAAAGGAAGGCCCATGTGGGTTTTTCTGCAATATGAGAATATGCCATTGAATGCTTATTCCTCAAAATCCGGAAATGAGTTGCAGCAGGCACTTGTGCAAGAGCTCTCACTCTGCAGTGGCCAATGTCATCTTCATTGCCTTATAAAGATGTTCAGGAAAAAAACATATACGAGTACAAACATGCCAGCAAAATAAACTAGAATTAAACTAGGGTTTCTTTAGTAAGTTATTGACAGGCACAATATCTTTAAAAAGATATTTTCAACGATATAGTTTGGCACATTTTGGTCGTCTATATTCTCTTTAAACTTGGAGGAATTATCCTTCACTTCCCTATTAGCGGCGAGATGTTTCGGTGGCGCCCTCGTTCGGTTGCCTTTCGTGACGTCACTACCTTGTGAACAACAAGTTCGATGGTGTTTGTAATGGGCATGGTAGAAACCTAAAATCATAGCGCTCTCAAAGCAGCACTGCCAACAGCCTCAAAATTGAGGTTCTTCCATTCATCTTATTTCCATCGATGAGAGATCTTTTGCTGACGTCATTGTCAGCATTCGGCCAATCGTGGCAGGCCGACCACAGCAATGCTTTCGATCGCTTACGTCGCCAATACACCTTTCCAAAAAACGCTCCTAGGCCGCCGCCATGTTGCTGATGCTGATGCGGCTGGTGCGACTCTTGCGCCCTCTATCAGCTAGAAGTGTTCTGCCACTCTCTTGGACTCTGAAGACCCGCTCAGCGCGGTTCTCTACCTACTTCTTTGTGGTTTTGCATTCAACGTTTTCTGGCCTTTTTGAAAGTTTCCACTTCATTTTTTTTAATGCATGCTGCGTACCCTTTCTGTCTTACCTTTCATTGTGATAAATAAGGCTGGTAAGTGCCCGCCATTCAAGCTTTTCTGCTTGGCATTCACGGGAAATGAAGGAGGTGAAGGACGTCGAACGGCCTTCGACGCGATTTTGCGAACATTGTTCTCACCCCTCCCAGAGATAATCTGCGTATAATCCCGTCATCTCCAAAAATAGTTGTCCGAGTTGGGGTGGGAAACGGGTCAGTCGTGTTCATTCCTTTGCCCTGGTGCTGTTGTGAAAACAGGAAGCTCTCCCGAAAATGTGCCCCAAAACGAAGTCATCTTGGATTCCCTCCGATCGTCAAGATGCGACTGTCGTCGACTGTGACTGTGTTATTTGAGATCTTTCTGAAATAAATTATTTTCAGATAACGCTGCATCGTGTGGTACATACAATATATTGTTCGGATGTTAACACTTGCTAAATTGCATGTTGGTGTCCTGTCCATCGGTAAACACGTTATTTGTGAGCGTGAAAAATGAATGCCTTTCGGCTGTCATCTGTTGTAAATTATTTTCGACAGCTAAGCGCTTTGTCGTTTGACATGCGGTGATTCGCACAGCGCCGTCAAAACTTATCGTAAAAAAAAAGAAAGGAAACTAGGACTATTCACTTCAGTTGCGTTCGTTCTGTCGCGCGCGTACAGGACAAAAATTGTTTATAGGTTTTCTCATTGTTTTTTTTTTCCAAATGTGATGCAATGCTTTCTCAATGACCTCGGGAAAATACAAGCACCATGAAACAGAAAATACAGCGGGAAAAGATGAGAATCTGTCCGCCAGCAGTGTTTGAAACTGCACCTACGCAGGCAGCGCCTATCGAAATCACAGTCCACTCGGTTTGGGTTACAAGAGACGCCGGTAAGAGTCTAGCCTCAAACCCAGTGACTGGGCTGGAAAACCGGTTTGCTGCCCCTGGGGTCGAGTGTTTCTTGGAAAGATGTATATGCCACAAATAAGGTATACAGGGTGTCTAGCAAATTATTAATTTGAAATTCCCTGACTTTTTCAGGTTTTCCCTCACAATTTTGGGCGA